TATGTATGTATGTATGTATGTATGTATGTATGTATGTATGTATGTATATCTTGGCTGCCCTCTGACAGGTAGAAAATGTTAGATAGGTGTAATCTGTTGAGGTAATTCCCCGTTAGGAGAATGAGTGCATACAGGGAGACGTATAGAGAGTAGTGTTGGAATAATACACACAGAGCACACAGATACACTGTACAGTAAATGTAAGTTTTTACTTCCAGAAAGGTTTAAGCAAAGTCCAAAATAAGCAATCCAAAGTCATTCACAGGTAAATCAGTCAGTTTTTCAATCCAGGGATAATCCAAATATCAAATTCCAGTGTCAAAAACAGTTCAGTAACAGACTTACATCAAATCCAGTAATATCAGTCAATTAGGAAAAATGGAAGAACGGCAATACTTTCCAAACAGAAGGAAACAGAGATACACTCGCACTCTCTTCTGAGACTCAGACTAAGACAATCCAGGTTTCTGGCTCCATCTTATGGCCATTTGAAAAACCACACCTAATTACAGTTTTGCATTTTCTTAAAGTTACAGTTTTAAAATGTTTATCCTGGTTTATATATTTCTAACCCAAATAGCTGTTAAGTGATATATTCCTAACATTCTCCCCTTTTGGGTAAGATAATATATACAACCTTACATTCTAAGTCCATAATCTTCACAGCTAGCCTTATGCTTTATAGAGCCTTGGGCCTTTGTAAAATGATCTGCTATATTGTTTTCTGACATACAGTATTCTAGCTTAATCATCTTACTTTGCACACATTGTCTCACATTTAAATATCTTAAATCTGTGTGTTTCGTTCTTGTTTTAACAGCAATATTTGAAGCCATCTGTATTGCTGATTGGTTATCTTCGTAAACAACAATAGGATCTTTTACATCAATTCCCATATCAATTAATAATTGCTTATACAAAACTAAATCTGTACATAATAAAAACAAACATGAGAATTCAGCCTCCATTGTTGACAAGCTTAGATGTTTCTGTCTAATATATCTCCATCCAATCAATGCTTTTCCCAATAATGCAGCAGTACCCGATGTAGATTTTTGTGTATTTATGTCTGTAACAAAACTTGCAGCAGCATATGCAGTTAAATTCAGCTCATCTTTAGGCTCCAAATACAATGCATAATGCATTGTTTGTTTTAGATATCTTAACACACGTTTAGCAGCTTGCCAGTGCCTTTCAGTGGGCTCAGCGTTAAATCTCGCTAATTGATTAACACTGTATGCAATATCTGGCCTTTTGACCAATTACTGAGATAAGATAAACTAACAATCAAAGACTGATAAATATTCTTATCAAAAACAGGACTTTGAACATCACTATGGCTAAACTCCTGGCTCATTGGTGTTTTAGCCGGCTTACAAAGTTCCATTTTATAACTTTTTAGTAATTGGTTAATTTTTTCTGCCTGTGAGATCTTGTATCCTCCCCTAGTTCTATCTATCTTTAAACCAAGATATTGTTTGATTTCTCCTAACTGTTTTATCTTAAATTTATTTTCCAATAGTGAAATTATCTCAGTAGCTTCTTGTTCAGTTTTGGTGATTAATGCTATGTCATCAGTAAATAATAGCAATAATGAAATTATACCATTAATTTCTCTTTTAAACAAACATGGATCAGCCATGCCAGCTACAAAACCTATTTTAGTTAATTCTTTAACTATACATTGGTTCCACTCATATCCTGATTGCTTCAAACCATAAAGACTCTTTTTCAATTTCCAGCAATCATTATTATCAGTATTATCATTTTTGAGACCTAAAGGTTTCTTTAAATATATAGTGTGTTGCAACGGTGCATGCAGATATGCCTTCTCTACATCCAAATGATTTACAATGTATTTCTCCTTAGCTGCCCACACTAATGCTGCCCTTACTGTAGTAGCCTTCAGACTAGATGCAAACACCTCATCGTAGTCATTTGCTGTCTGATTAAACCTTTGTGCTACTAACCTGGCTTTATGGGTAACAGTCCCATCTACACCTGTCTTTAGCTTATATATCCATTTACATCCTATGGCATGTTTACCTGGTGGTAACTTAACATTTTCGTATACCTCCAGTCTTTTTAATGATTCCAGTTCCTTATCCATTGCTTTCTGCCAAGCAGCCTGATCCTTAGCAGGATACAGTTTTAGTTCACTATAGTTACTTGGAACTGTATTCACTTGGCATACAACACTAGCCTAATATCTATCAGGTGGTCGTGTTACTCGGGTTGAACGTCTTGGTAATACAGGGCTTACTGGTGGACTTTCCTGTGCCACCTGCTCCTGTTCTTCTATTTCTTCCTGTGCCTGTTCTACTACTTCCTCCTGTTCTTCCTCTTTAATGCTATTTGGGGTTTACTGATTTTATCTTTAGGGACTATTTGGGTGTCAATAATAATATCATTGCTGGATTCCTGTTCCAGTTTATCCCACCCAACGTGCTCAAGAAATTTTGCATTAGCACTGCAATAAACATGAGCTGTGCCTTGATCCCAAAATCTAAATGATCTATGGTTGGCCACATAACCCACAAAAAATAATTTCTTAGCTCTGTGTTGCCCTTTCAGTCTTACTTGTGAGGGAATATACACCCATGCTGGAGCTCCAAATGTGTGTAGGTAACCTAAATTTGGTTTTCTGCCATGCCAACGAGTGAATGGCAATTCTCCAGTTGTTGTATTTACTACATTGTTTAAAACATGGCTCCTACACATTATGGCTTCACCCCACAGTGTTTCAGGTAAACCTGAGTCAGATAACATAGCGCGAGCCATGGCTTGTAATGTTTGCCCTCTTCGTTCTATAAACGAGTTATGTTGTGGTCTGTAAGGTGCAGAACGTTTATGCTCAACACCAGCCAATTTCAGCATAGTTTGGAATCTTTTGTTAACAAACTCAGTCCCATTATCAGTTACTAAAGTAATTACTTTACTTTTCATTTTTTCTCTCAGCAAACCTTAGCCAGTTAAAGAAATGTTGGAATGTTTCTGTTTTGTTTTTCATAAGATAGCAGAAACCATATCGTGAGTAATGGTCCATAATACTCAAAATATAACAGGCACCTCCTAAACTTGGTTTCTTAGGACCAATTATGTCAGCAAACACAACCTCTAAAGGTTCTTTGGTCTTAAACCTATTCTCTATTATACAGTTATCTCCCCTAAAGGTTACTACATAACCAAT